ATGTTCCCATCCCCATGTAAAAGGAATACTGCCATGTTGTTGTTACATGTACAGTTTATATATACAAAACCTATTATACCAGTAGTTAAAGTATGGAATTTTTTTTATACAGTATTAATAAATTTATTACATGTAAGTAAATTCTATTGTAGGATGGATTGGTGACAATGAGAAATGAGATGCATGATGATCTCATTGTCAATTGGGGTATGGCAGAGCACAGTTGCCAGGCTAAGGCTGATACAATGCTTAAAGTACTTAATGAAATAGACAAAAGGTCAGTAGTGGTAACATGATTCTAAAATTAGAATAAAACTATTATATGACTTGATACTTTTTCAATCCAAATAACAGGATTTCCCACAAAGCATGCATGCTTCATGAGCTGACAAGCACTATAGTACATGGCATTTAAAGCAACTTTTAAAATTCGTAAAAGATCCAAACTTGATTGGAATCAGTTTAAAGTTTCTACATAACAAAAGTACATGTATATGCATCAGAAAAAAATGGAGAGTCCTCTCCTTTTTATTTTTGACAAAATTTGGCTAATGGGGAATTCTCTCCTAGTGATTTTGTCCAAATACACTGTACTACTTTATAGTTGGGCTAAATTTTGAGTAATTTGACTATCCACTGACAAGAAGCTGCTGAGCACTATGACAAAATCCTGTTGGAAACCCTGATACAGATACATGTACTTGTAGCTTGTGAATGCATTGTACAGATCATAGTTCAGTGTATATTAATGCAAATTTAGCATGGGATGAGTTTTTTGTAAGTCAGCAGTGGCTCGTCTCTGAAAATTTACTAAAACAGGAAAATGTGAATTTTTCCACAAATTATAAATACGATGAGTTAGACTGTTTACTGACATTGCCATTTTCACAACCCTTTGCATACAAAGTTTGATTTACATACACAAAAATACCCAAGTTGTTTTAATTTTCATTAGATATGGTAGTACCAGTCAGTATCTGGAATCAATTGGGTTTACTCTTGAAGATCAAGAATCATTGAAATCAATACTTCTTCATTAGCACAGAACCGGTCTTCATTACAATCTATAATTTTAACTTTAAAAAAAAATGAATTTATAGTTCTTTGTGATAGAGGCATTGTGTCCTTATTTATATTTTATCTTTTAACTTTTTGTGTCTGACGAAGTAACTGAGCTTTTTGTTTTTTCAATGAGTACTTGTCAGTAGTACTAGTACTAGTCAATTGAAATGATTTCCATTCTGGTCTGATGACTGGAGGCTTGCCTTAAAAGTATACCCTTTTAACTATCTATTGGTAGCACTTCAAGACCAAACAATTTGGTCAAGATTGCAAAGTTGACATGAGCAGCAATCAGTAGCACAATGACAATATATAACACAAGGTGATATTCAATACAAAAATGTCTCAGTTTATTTTACTAAGTCAAAGTACAGTACAAGTCAAAGCAACAGTTGACGGGTCAAGTCTATTCATAATCATGTTTACCGGAATAAATCAGACATGTTTACCATTGGTGAGATGAGATGACATATACAGTGAAACCTGCTTAATCCGGTCACCCTGGGGCCAGTTTTAAATGGCCTGATTATGCAGGTGGCTGCATTACAAATCAGCCTCTGTAATACAGCCATTTAGTACGGGATTCTGGCTTATGGCTGTAATAGAGAGGTAGCCTCATTATTCAGGTGACCTTTAGGACAGGTTTCACTGTGTACATATATATATATATATTACAGTTAAATTTAGATATGCACCAGACAAACATCCACTTCCATTTACGCACAGCAATACATTATG